TGTTTCTTTATTTTTATTTGTCGCAATTGATACTAAACCTGGGAATGATCACGTTGTGCGTTCAAATACATACAGCACTAAGTCCACAGTTTTGTTGCCCTTCACTTATTCAGTTACACACAGTCTTTTAATAAAGCTTTGCCATTAACTTCTGTAGTATTGTCTTGAAGAGTAGATTGTTATTTGTTCAGATAACAGATCACTGTATATCAGAAATATAAGAAAACAGAGTGAAGATGAATATGTAAAATGTTTTTTGCAACAGTCATATTAAGGCTAATATGGTCTAGTAGATTTACATAGTTTTGTAGTTTTACATACGTAGCAACATCATTGTTTTTTCTATTACAAAATCAACATGCTGTGCCCAAATAATGACTTCACAGAACTATTCAAATATACTGAAAGAATAATTACAGATGTGCCAAGTCTCAGCTGTGGACTCCTGGAGGTTCCTTTTAAGTTTCCAAAATTAATTATAAATATGTTCTAGTAGATTTGTATAGTTTCATAGTTTTACATAGTAACATTATTTTTTTTCTATTACAACATCAACATGCTGTGCCCATATAACGACTTCACAGAACTATTCAAATATACTGAAAGAATAATCACAGATGTGTCAAGTCTCAGCTTTGGACTCCTGGAGGTTTTCTTTAAGTTAAATTAGGTTTTTCCTCTCCCCGGTGCTGTGCAGCTCTTTTTTGGACGTCAGGAGCCGCCCTTGAAGGGCGGTACTGTCACGCCCTATACACCTACAGGATGCTCAACTTCTACTTCCTAGTTCCCTTTGATTATTCATGGCTTTTCCAGTGTGTCTTGTGTACCCAAATTACAGTACTTCCTGTGTCTGCTCTGCATCTTGCTCAGCATTGAGGGTACGTACAGTATATCATGAGACCCGCCTATTACCAGGGCGCCCCACGTCCGTGGCCTGAAGGCCTAGGTTTCTACACCGACATCATCTGACCCCCTGAGCTTGGGCTAACCTCTGTGTTCTGGCTCTGTAATTGTTCTGAAATTTGTTAAGTTGTATTTATTGTTGCAAACTGGAAGCAAATCATTTAGAAGGACCAAATTCTCTTGGCTATTGAATGTCTCTAAAGACCAGTGTGCCTTACTGTATGTCTCTAAGCTTAAACAATGCAACTAAATGTTCCCTAACAGTAATATCTGAGGCTGTCTAGATTTTAAGAATAGTGTTTTTTTATGATATGAAAATAAAATGCAGAGTTTTGAAAAGCAAAAAAATATTTTAATACAAAAAGTTTTCTTGTTGACCTATTTATGAACAAACAACAGACAAATAGACCATAACCATACTTTTTATACCTCAAAACAGCTTTACATCCTACTCTATGCACAGTATGCAAAAATACAGTATGTTCCTAATACACTGTTAATAGTAATGGTACAATTTGTAATGTTCTGTTGTAGATCAGCAGAAAAGCAGAATAAACATTCATTGAGAAAACACAGGGTGGCAAGATGTTACAGTGGTTTGCCCTGGAGCTACCTGTATCTGTGTGGAGTTTGTATTGTATAGTCACCTGTATATTCGCATGGGTTTTCTCTGGGAGCTCTGGTTTTTCACTCACAATCCAAAGACGTACTTGTAGATTAATTGGCTTCTGGTAATATCGTCCTTGTGTGAGTGTCTGCATGTTTGTGTCTGTATGTATCCTGCAATAGATTGGTGGCCCACTCAGTTTGTATCCTGCCTCTCGCACGTTGCCTGCTGGGATAGAGTCTGGTTCCCCTGTGATCCTGTGTTGGATAAAGTGGTTGGAAAATGAAAATATGCATATAAGTCTACATTTTACATTGAAATTTAAATCTTTAATAGAACCCTTAATCCAAATTAGTGGAGTACTCAACATACTTTTACAGTGAATTGATTTATGAAGTTCATAAAAATGTTCCTGCCAAACGTGCAAGTTTTTATCATAACAATGTTACAGTACATCAGTTTAGATAGGTCTTGAAAAGACACATCTCCATTGAAATGTTTTTGATATATTATTTTAGTTTACCATCTTTTACTACTAACACAACCTATTTTTAACATAATAATGTATTTGCTACCAAGTGAAACTTATTACAAGAATCAAACTTATTGTCAAGGCTATAGGAGGAAGAGTCAAAAGACGCTTATACAGTACAGTATATCAGAAATTTTTAGCAGACACGGTGGTGAGACTTTACACTTCCTGCAGTATTCCAATTTTTATTTCAAACGTTTAATGGATATCTGAAAGCAATAAACACATTGGATATGTACTGTATGTTTCAGTCTCTAAATTCTTTTTAATCCTTTCTAAAGGCTAGAAATGAGCAGGATAGTGTTTAATAAACACACAGTTTGAATAGTCTCTTTCTTAACAATTTCAATTTAAAGCTGGAATACTGTTTTAAAATGCCAACACCACTGAGGGAAATGTATAATAACATACATATTATAAGTATCATAAAGTAACTTATTTTTCCAAATAATTTATATTATATATTGCAATTAGCAAATAAATAATTTCTGGTAATATACAGTTACATGCTCTAACAGCATTTAACATAAGTGTACCATCTAAAGAAGAATAACTGGAATGTTCATTCTGATTTATTACTTTGCAATTGGCTTTGCATCTCATTGCTATGTGGTTGTTAAGATGTTTCAAGATCAGATCAAATACTCATATTTTATTTTCAAGGTAAATGCACAGTAAATACTTTAAAACATCAATACCAACTAAATTGGAAACATGTTACTATACACAATATTATATACAGTATGGTGACATTAAACTGTCATAGAAACCATACATTAGCAGTATGTGTCCTTGTGGTTGAAAAGGAGTCATTATTATTGAAATTAAATCTTCAGGGTTATTAGAATGAATACAAATGAACATAAAAACACTTATACCCCAAGTTACTGTGAAAAGGTTTAGTAATAAATAATGAATTAAAAATGCAGAAATATTACTGTTATCTTTGTAAAATTCTGTGGTTGTGATAATATTCCATTTTAATCAGAATAAAACAATATTTTAAACTATATACTGTATGATTTTTGTTGAATTTCAATGTAACATCATAGCAGTAACATTTAGATAAGTTCCTTTGTATGGCACACAATGATTTATATCCATGGACTCTCACATAATCTGAAATGGCTGCTTAACCAAGGGGGGTCATTTATATTCTGTGTGATGAAATAAGATGAAGAGAAAGCAGCTATTTGTGTGAAAATGTGCTCATGATTTGCTTGCCCCATTTTTCTGGCCTTATACACTGAGCAATATACTGTGGCGTTTGTCTCAAGAGAAGAAGAAAAGAGCAGGCCTCAATTTTTCATTCTCACTTCTTTAGTTCATAAAACAGTCCAGCAGCAGGGTTCTCATCTGAGAATGGTTGAATCCACTGAGATATTTTCTCAGCATACAAAATAAACGGAATCAATTCTGCTCCTTGTATGGAGCAGTTGAATAACCTTTTCCTTGCTATTGCCATGGAAGTGGCTGACCTTGGTAGTCAAGTTCCATATACAACACCAGAGAAAAATGAGTCCCCAAAGCTGCCAAGTGGTAGGTCCAAATGAAAAAAAAACAACACATGCCACAAGGTGAAGAACATACAGAACTTTAAAAATAGTGTCCAACATCAAATACACACACATTTAAAAGTGGAAGCTCAAGTGGTTTGTAGATCAAAGAAAACAAGAAATGTTATCTTGCATTTTTTAAAATACAGTACATGGATACCTCTTGACTTACCTAAGAAAAAAAAAATTACACAGGAAGCAAACAATAAATACTTTTGAAACAGAAAAGAAAATGATCTGTTTAAGATTGTCCTTGCAATCTTCTTGCTTGCTTGACAACAAGTGGAACCAGTCTAAATCACCAAGAAGACATAGACTCTGTAGAAAACAATGCTTGTCTCAAGAGAGCCAAATTCAAAATACATAAATACAGGGTATAAGTGGTTCATTTTTGCTAATGCATATCTTTCATGGTACTCTAGGAACTAGCTGTTGTTCTGTCATCAAAATAAGTTTAGGAACTGCAATACTAACAAGCAGCATGCATAATTTGATTTACCTACTGTACTGTACGTAAGACAAATCCCAACACAACTGTCTTTTCTGTTTCATTCCTTTTTTGCTTGGTATTTTTTTTCATTTCGCAATACAAGCAAAATACTTTGCATCAACACTAAGGCAACATTTCATTTTGGTCTTTGAAACTTTGACATGATCAGAAAATAATTGTTTTTGAGTAAAAAAAACAAGAAGATTTAGCATAACATGGACACATAAAGTATACACATTTTAAAAAAATCTGTTTTAGGCCAATTCCCAAATGTGCAAATAAAAGTAAATAAAAAAAACTTTGATTATCCTGTGTTTGTGGTGTGTGTGTATGATGTCTGTATCCAGCAATGTAATGAAGACATGTTCAGGTTGCAATCCTTGTATTTTATGTTTCTGGGGTAGACTCTGCATTGCCTCAACTTTAACCAGTAATAACTGGCTTTCTGATAATGGATAGTTGGATGAATTCCAGTAGTAATAGGCTGTAGACATGTTCATTTTCAGCATGGTAAAAAGAATTAGGAACTTGTTGTTCACCTTTATGCAATATCTTTAATCTATCAGAACAGCTGGGAAGTACCTTGTCATTGCTTTGGCTCTGGGTTTAAATTGATTGCTACACAAGAGGAATATCAAATAAAAAATAAATTAGGCTTTGCATTGCTTATCAGTAGCAAATAAGTACGTAACTGTTTGTCTATCCAGTAACACAAAACATTAAGGGAGTCATAATAATTAATTTCCTGGTTTGTTACTATTTCCTTTTCAGGAGTATAAGGTTTCACTTACAATAATGAGCACACTACAAAGTGCTGAGTAATCCTAAGGCGTGCTTGTGGCTGATGCAAACCTGAATATTTTGCATCATCATAAGCAGCAGTAACTGAGTGTGGCAGCAAATTCTATATAATCTGACACAGAGACAGGAGCTGCAGCATGATGACAAGGCAGCTGGTAGGGAGAGTATTCAGTTGAGAATAGGCTCAACTTACAGTAAGCTGGGGAGGCAGTGTCTCTTTTTCACAGCAGCCACAGAGGGCTTCTGTCAAGTGTATGAGAGTTCAAGGCAAAGCCAGAACTGCCAGCTAAAGTTTTGACTGCCTGCAGTGAGTAAGATCACACATATCATCATGTCCAGGACATCTGCTGCTGTTAATAATACCTACACTAGGGGATATATTAGAGGGAACTCCAAAGGGAGCCCAGGTGTAGAGTCACGTAATAAAGATGCCACAGGTAAAGTAGAACTAAGAAAAAAAGTAACTTTGCTGAGAGGAATCTCAATTATAACTGGGACCATCATCGGAGCTGGGATATTCATCTCACCCAAGGGCATCCTGAAGCACTCTGGCAGTATTGGAATGTCTCTTGTGATCTGGAGTGCATGTGGGGTCCTGTCATTGTTTGGTAAGAAGCTGATATTTTCATTTTATACTACAGTTGTGTAAAATAAAATGATAGAGATGGAAGACACTGAAAATAAGACAAAGTGTAATTGATGTCTTTTGCCCAGTTAATGTGTTCTGAATTATGGCCTCACAGTTATAATATAAGTTGTTTATTTATTAAATGAAATCCAAATGGTATTAAGATGTTTATCTATTCACATTCATTTTCTTAGGCCATATAAGTTAATGATGAACACATTAATGATTTATTTTGCAAATACCTTCACAGTTTACCTAATAAAGTTTGGTTAATTATATTAATCTTATGTGAGCAAAAGCAATAATAATCATCAAACACAAAAATTCATGTGAGTTGTTTTTTTTAAAAGGTCGAAAAAATGTAAATTACAATTCTACTATGCCAAACACCCTTAAATAAAGAAAAGGAAATGAATGTGCATGCTCTGTTGTTCAAGCAAAATTATAAACATTTTTGAAGCACCCGTACTGGTGCTCTCAGATGAAGGTATTGGAATAAAGTTTGAATATTTTAATAAGAGGATTATTAAATTTCTAATTAAAAAACAAACAAACGTGTATTTAACAGTGACTACATCAAGAGCATGAAAACAGAATGGCAGAATCACACAAGCAAACATACATGTATGGGAAATGCAAATTATATGACTTTAAAGTCAATAAGGACTGAAACAAGAAGGATGTTTGCGCAGAACTGCTTTAAGAACAAATACTGTAGGTATCAGTATTCCCATGTTCTCCACTGGCTGTAGGGTATAAAGGTGGGTCACCAGACCAACACTTTACAGCATATGCTGTGCATCACATGCAACAGTCAACTCAGTTCTCTTTCTTTTGCTGAGTTTTTTTTCTGAACTGCTTGTAGTCCATATGACCAAACATCATCCTGCAAACCTAATGGGATAAGGCAAACCTTATACCATACTTACTCGATTGCGTGTCTACTGCCTTGTCCTTATGGCCAGATATTGACTCTCAAGCCAAGCAAAAATGTCAGACATTTCTGTAAAATGCTCTCTTTTCTCCAATCATTTTATCGTAACTGTCAGAAACTATGAACCGTCACAGCCTGTTACTGTTATCACCATTTTGGTGTAATTACATTGATTGCAGAAGACCTGGTTGGTTTCTGGAAGTTCCTGACTTATTTTTCCACATCTGCAATTGCCTTATTAGGCTTTCATATACAGTACCTTCTGATTTAGTAGAAATAAGTAAAATATCTTGGATTTGTAATAAGAGTGTTTTTTAAAGAAGCTAAGGGAAATCTAGTAAGACTTTTTAAACTGCAGGACTGTAAAATCTAAAAAAAGAAAAGCTTTTCATTGGAAAAGAAAAGTGAGACATTTAAAATATACCAAAAGAAGCAGTGAAGAAGTGTTTGTAAGCACTTAGAATTTTTGTATGCCCTTTTATGCGATAGTCAGACTTTAACATCCTTAGTCAGATTTCAGAGTTACACTGGTAAGTTTAGTAAGTACTCCAATGCCTTGAATTGTATTTTACTTAAACAATATTGTCTTGATAAATATTCAGTAGATTAAATTTATTTTTTTTTTCCATCTAACTGCTTTATCCTATACAGGGTTATAGAAGAACCAGTCCAGGGTCAATTTTCCCAGAAGCCAATTAACCTATCAGAACTATTTTCTACTGTGGGTCAAAACTGGAGTAACCAGAGGAAAGCCAATCAAACTCCACACAGATAGAACCCCTAGGAATTGAACCCTGGGCCCCATTAGCGCAAGGCAACAATGTTTTACATGGCACTACTATGCCACCCAAATCTGCTTGTATTTTTAATGTTTAATTTGTATAACAGAAGGATTAAAATAAAAGTAATATTACTTTTAAGATTTTAAAGATGTGTTAACTGTATTAAGTTATTCCATTTAAAATAACATCTGTTTCTATACACTGCACCAAAGCATGAGGCACTCTATCAATATGGAGCAACTCTAATTTGCTATTTGATCCAGGCTCCCATGAAGCGTAGTTCAGGAGTCTATGCAGACAGTATAATCAGGAAGTAAATGGAAAAGGACAAGGGGAGGAGACAACGAGGATCAGGAGGGGTTGACAGACAGGGGGCATGGCGATAGTGAACTGGTGCTCGGGGTGTGTAGCCAAGGTGAACAAGTCCAAGGAGTCCAGGGGGGAAATGTGGGGTGAAGTCCAAAAGTCCAAACATGGTGATCCAACTGAAACGTGACAAAACAGAGTCATGAGGAACGAGATCCGGTACAGGGATGGGGAATAAAACCGGGATGATGAGGCCAGGCGCTCTGAGCCCCACACTCAGCTGCGTCGAGACGCCGATAGGAGGCCCACGTCCTCAAGCTGTGGACGTAGGGCGACTTGATGCTAGGCGGGCCTCTGGGCGTCCGTCTTCCAATGCAGAGCCCAGAGTAGTGAGAGTGTCAGGTTTAAATAAGGAGGGGCAGGTGCATGAAATCGTCAAAAATGTGAAAGAGCCGGAGCACCCTTAAAAGGAAGGATTAAGATCGTGACAACTTCAAAGGAAACTTAATACTTTAATACACAAGTAGTGCTAAAAAAGCATCATCAAGATATTTCAAGACCACAAAGACAGTGTAGAAAGAGAAGAAAGTATTTCCATTCCTCTTGCATGTTAATACTGAAATTAGAGAAACCATTATTCAGTTTCACATTTTCACATTATCTTTTAAACCCATTCAGTCAATATAATCTATCATACTGTATGTTTGTCTTAAATCTTCTTTAGTCAAAGTAAAAAAAAAGTGAAACTCATATATACAGTATATATAGTATATTGTATATACTATATAAGCAATATGCTGTCTCTATATCATATGATTTGTATTGTATACAATATACAAATACAGTACAAGTTGAAAACCAGTCATGCATCATAAAAACTCCTCAATTGTTGCACAAAACCCTGACAACTGGGTTAATGGATTAGCTGGAATTTAAACTAAATTCTCAAACAAATTCCCAAAAATGATTTAAAGAAAAAAGGTCTGAAAATTAGTTCTTCCAAACTGGATGCACATGGAATTGTTCTAACCCGACCACTGGGTTATTAATGGATTAGTTGGGATTTAAAACAAAAATCTGAACCTAATTCCAAAAAAGGTATTTAAAGGAAAAAAAATCTGATGTAGCATAAGGAACTAGGCAATATTGTTTTTCTTTGAGAATGTACCTCCTTTCAATAAAAGCGCGGTGCAATTTTAACTAGCATCTCCAAACAAAAAACACTTTAGGATATATCCATTTTTTATACAAGACTTCAAGTTATTAAAATAAACAGATCTAATCATTGACATTCAAATATTTGAATAAGCTGAACACATTTTTATAAATATTAATTACAAAGTTAATTACCAAATTCTATTGTTGTGCTGGAATCTCATAATGAGGTATTAACATTCAGTGCAATGTAATGTCTCAGTCCACAGTTTATGAGTGCTATTGAAAAACAGTCTTATGCCAGTATTTAGTAGTTCACTAAGTAAACTTATGTCTTTAAGAAAATACTTATCCTATTTAATAGTGTGTGTATTTCTGTCTGTCTATAATCTATTTTATGTATTTAATAAATCAACCTTGAAATCTCAAAAATGAATTAAAATGTTAAATTTTAAAGCTTATCTCACAAGCAGTTCAATTGTGCTATCTTTTGAAACATCAGAAAATTAGTTTTCATAACACTTCAATAACATTTGTTTATTTATGCTTCAACTCCATTTCTGTGATAGACAACTTTCCAGTGACATACCGTACTGTATGTTACCAGAATACAACCATTTATGAGTTGAAGTCATTAAAGAAACGTGTGGCTGTTTTTTCATTTTCCAAATCCTTCTAAATGATACCACAATGCAGTATTATATGGTAAATAATGCCATTTATTTATTTTATGTTGCAAAATGGAAAACTAAAATGAGGAAACTTTCATCAAAGTTCTGACAGGTAAAGAGAATCAAACATAATATAAAATCCTGCTTTGAGTTAGTTGAAACCACACAACCTATCACTTTATATACAGTATATACTGTAGAGTAATAAAAATGGAAAAAAAATAGTATCCACTTATCTCTAAAAGTTGATGTCAGGTCACAATGTAGAAAAAAAAACTTGTTATATTTTAAGTCATCATGCAAATCATTTAAAGTAAAACTTGAAACAGTAATAGCCTATTTTGCGTCTACTGTATGCTCTTTGTGTTATTATTATAATTTTAGTGTTAATATTAAAAGTCACTGTTTATACTATTTTGTATGATACACATCTGAAACAACACCATTGAAATGAAAAAAAAAATCTAAAGTTACTATAAGAACTGGACAAACCAGTAGTATGTATTAAATCATTACAAAAAAAACAGCGGAGACTGTTAATGGTCTGGGTAAACATTGTATGGTCTCAGGGCATAATAAAAACAATGCTTGTAGACAAAATTCAAGGAAAAACAGCTGGCCAACAATAATCTAGGACAGGCTGCGTGCAGGAATGTGACATCTTTCATGTTGGGGCAGACCTAGTCCATCTACTACCTTATAATTAGACAGAGACAGATCTTTTAAGTTGGTTCTGTAAGTCTTGGGAAGTTGGTACAATGACATTTAAAATAAGATTAATATGATATTTTTATTCAGTCATTTAACATCATTTTGATCTAAAGTCCTTAGATAAACAAATTGCAAAATCAACATTGCTAAACACACAGCTGTATTAATGCACTATAGCCTAAAACAAAGTTAATACCTTGTGAAACAGACATTGCATTTTAAGCAAAGAGCTTGGTATTGTGTTTAATTCTTGCCAAACTTTGTAAGTTCACTAATGCTACCAACAGTTATTTTTTTGGTTAGCGTGTATATTACACATATTAATGTATAATTTTACTCAAAAGCATTCTATTTAATTATTCTCTAATTAATGCACACTGAAGTACTTTAACATCCTTAGATGGATTTTATGTAGATAATA